CTTGTTACTACTAGTAAGGCACTTGTTACTAGAAGCGATGCACTTGTTCCTAAGGACGAGTTTTCGTGGAAAGCAAATCGTGTTCGACTCTCGGGGCCCAAGATGATTGTGGCCGCTACTAGGACGAAGCTACGGTCGTAGCTTCTTGAACTGAGTAATGGCCTCCCTAGAAGCGTCCTCTTGTTTTTGCTAAAAGAGGCTCTGGCGAGACATTTTGCCTGAGAAGTGCTGCGCAACAAAGCCGTAGAGGCAAAGCAGCAGAAAGCCGTTGTTCCGGTGCCAGAGACCTCGAGTCTTAAGGTCTGAAAGAAAGGAAAAAGGGAAAAAGGAAAAACACTTTTAAAAAAAGTAGCTTCTTGTTACTACTAGGAAGGCACCTGTTATTACTAGCGATGCACCTGTTACTACTAGCAAAGGAAGGGAAAAAGGAGTCTCAAGAAAAAACTCTACAGAAAGGAAAGAAAGAGTGTTTCACTGAGTGTTCAAAAACATCATCGAATGTGCTAGGTGTCCAGACAAACAAGCCCGCCCAAAAGTACATAGTCCAGCGGCAAGTTCAAGTAGCTTGCATACATGGAAGGGTTCGCCTTTCACGGACCAAACAGGTCTGAAGATGCAAACCTTTGGACCGTGGTACCTTTGGATGAGAAGATACAGAGAGATAAAGAGAGTAGAGTCATACAAAATGGGATCCATGTGCGGCTACGGAAACACGACTGAACCAAGAGCTGGTCTGATAACCTACTAGCAATGGCCGATGGCCTCCAACCAATAAGAGCTGGTCTTTTACACAAAAACAACATGTGTTATGCGATGGTCTGCAGAGATCTCCGTCCGGTTGAGGGACAGACTGGCTGGTGCTCCGCCACCGAGTCCACAAGAGGATTTCCGGTTTTCGTGTGCTTCACAAACCTCGGCATCGCTCTTGCATCTCTCGCGCTGCCTTTCGGGAAGCAAGGCTGAATCACCCTCTTAAGGCTCCAGCAGTCCACGTATTCGTGAAGAGATGGGGCCAAAGTACCTGGTTTCAGCAAGGAGTTGAACATGGGGATAGTAATAATCTGCTAGGGAAAAAGGTTTGGCTTAACAATCGAGGGGATAAAAAGATTGTAAAAGGGGCCTTACCTTCTTTTGTTCCTCTCTTTTCTAAGACCCTATATCGTCAGTATATAAATAATTGCATATGTATAGTACTTACTATGCTTGAAATCTTTTTCAGGCAGTAAACCGGATCACTGTTGGGCACCCGGTTGGATACAGCGCAGCACAAACCAGTGCCGTGACCACCACCAGCAAAGCCATGACCTGACGGCAGCACCACGCCCATAAAGCTTGCTACTTGACAAAAACCGACAAGAAGAGGTAGTGCCACCCCACAATCTGTGCGACAGCAGGTGTGTAAAACTGCCAATTGTTAGAGTTGCCCTGCGCTGCATTGATCTAGTTAAGGTTATGTATCGAGACGCAAAAGCAAGAAACATCGAACCAAACCACTGTGAGCTTTCGCATGTTTTCATCGGCGCCTTGATTCGGAAGCTAGTAGGAACAAGTGTCTTACTACTAGTAACAATGTTCGCTACTGATTTTAATTCTAATAGCTTCTTGTTCCTACTAGTAAGGCACTTGTCACTAGAAGCGATGCACCTGTTACTAGTAGCTTCTTGTTCCTAGTAGCTTCTTGTTACTACTAGTAAGGCACTTGTTCCTAGAAGCGATGCACTTGTTTCTAGTAGCTTCCATCGGCGCCTTGATTCGGAAGAAAGCAAACTCAAAGGCGCCCATGCTTCGCCTGCGATGTGTCGGTCGCCCATCGCAGAACGTCGAACGTCGAACGCCGTCGAAGGCCTTCGTCTTTGCCAATCGCAGAATGCGAGAAATTGGTAGCCGATAAACACCATCAAAGGACCCAACCTTAGATGTGAATGCTTTGGCACTAGGAGCAAAGGGCATCGCTACTAGGAACAAGAACGCTACTAGGAGCTTTTTCAACACAAGTGATTGAGTCGATGGCTGCTCCACGGAACGCAAAGGTTGCATCCCAACGACAGGAACCTGCAACCGTACAAACGGTGCCAACCCCCAAAGTGGCTACTAGTAGCTACTTGCTACTAGTAGAAATGCCCTTGTTACTAGTAGCTTCTTGTTACTGGTAGTAAGGCCAGGAGCTACTAGTAGCTTCTTGCTCCTAGTAGCGATGCCCTTTGCTCCTAGAAACTTCTAGCTGTGTGTTTTCACACCGTGCCGACCCGTGGCCACAATGCTGCCAACCGGACGAGCTTACCGCACCTGCATTGCTCCAGCAGTCCCCACCTCACAGGTTCTGCAGTCAACATCTGACAACCTAGGACCTAGTAGCGTTCTTGCTGACTTTTTTACTAGTAGCGTTCTTGCTCCTAGTAGCGATGCCAGGAGCCCCTAGTAGCGTTCTTGCTACTGGTAGCGATGCCCTTGTTACTACTAGCGCAACACTTTGTCTGATGTTGTCAGATGAACTGGCATATTTGCGTTAAAGTCCGCTCACTCACAGGCTCACAGGTCTAAGGCAGAAACTATGTAGAAAATGGTGTAAGCTTTGTGAACCTGCAATTTGTTCACTGCACCGAAAGCGGCTGTGAAACACCAAACATTCCCATGCTTCTCAGACATGCTCAGAGATTCTTAGGCCAAAACCCCTGAATTGAAACGGCCAAATGCCACCAGCAAGGCTGCATGGAGCCCTACCCTGAGACCAATAGACAGAAACAAACAGAAATATGTTTGCAAATCTGCTTTCTCGTAAACTAAGCTGTGAACATGTTGATGACAAAGATGTAGCCCCCCCATGCCTGGCGGGTGGAGACTTCTCCTTCTGAACACGTTCGACAAAAATCCGCGCACCGCCACCATGTAGAAGTACGAAAGACCTGCTGCAGCAAAATGTTAGACAATGAAAAAGTTTATCCCCTGGCTGTTCCTGCACATGACTCAGTGCGTCACCTGCGAGCACGCTAATTGGCCAATGCTTGGGGGTCCTCACACACAGCAGCCACCTCAGTTTGTGAGTGTACCCTTTGTGCTTGGTTTACATCACGAATGTCAACTGCTAGCAATGGCCTCCACCCTCAACCCTAAGAGCGATGGCCTTCAACCTAGACCCGATGGCCTCCAACCTAAGAGCGATGGCCTTCAACCTAATAGCATGATAGCACAAATGGAACGCCTTTGTCACCCCGTGGTCCACAAAGTAAGTTGTACCGACTGCCACGATGGGCATCATAGAACCTGTCAGGCGCCAGTCGTTAGCTCCCAAAGTCTCCTGAGAGTGCATTGAGTTCGCTACTAGGAGCAAAGGGCCTTACTACTAGGAGCAAGAACGCTACTAGGGGCTCCTGGCATCGCTACTAGGAGCAAGAACGCTACTAGTGAAAAAGTCCTACAGCACATTGAGTTCACTGATGCGCACACTTTTTCAGACGGATCGAGGGTGGAACGTGATCGGATTGTGTTCTTCTTCTGCTCCCAAGATATCTGGTGTGTTGCCAGGAGCCCCTAGTAGCGTTCTTGCTCCTGCCAGGAGCCCCTAGTAGCGTCCTTGTTCCTAGTAGTAAGGCCCTTTGCTCCTAGTAGCGAACTCAATGCAACCGGATCCGAATGGATGGCTTTTGCACACAGATTCCAAGATTAAAGCCATCGTGCCTATCTAGCTCATCAACACAAATGGATGCCAGTCAAGAAGCTGAGCTACACATTCCCTTTAGTTTATTGCCGACTCTCAAAACAGTTTTGCGTTGAGAGTAACGGACCTTTGCATCAAACGCAGGTGCAAATGCAGACATTCAGGACATGAAAGTTGAAGCATGATAGCACAGATGGAACGCCAACAGTTCTAGATGTCGCAATCATGATTCACGTAAGCAATGATGCCAGAAGGGGTTGAGCTCAAAATAGCCGTCAAAAGAGCATGAAAGCGAATGCAGCAAGGAGGGTAAAGGCCACGGATGACTTTTCCAGTGACGAAATCTTACACCTAGTGGGAGTTTTGGATTTGTGGTAGGTTCATTCATGAAACACTGCAGATATTACTTAGTGGGGTGGTACAGTGGCGCGAAGTCTAGCAGTTCTATGGGAGAGTCGAACTGCAGGTTGCGAAACGCATTGTCCTGGATGCGTCAAGTGTGCGCTGGGCATTAGTAAAGCAACACCTTGCAAATCATCGAGACAAAAATACCACATAACGCATCACCACACTACAAATCAGCACCTCACTACAAAGTAGCTGTGGATGTGCAACACTTCAGGGAGCATGTTGTCAAACTGTTGTGGCAAGTCATTTGTCAACTCCTTGTTCTCTGACACTCGCTCTGTCGAAGTAAAGATGATGTCAGCTTCAGCAAATGCAGCAAGCAGAGCCACTGGTGAGATCCGTCACCTGCCGCCATGGTTATCAGGAGTTGCCACGACCTTTTTTGACGTTGCCTGCTGCCACTCAATCCACTGTTCCACGTTCGTACGCTGGCCATGGAGCCCAGCACTTCATCCCTGAGTGCGCTCCCCGTGGACATGTCCAGCTAGTAACCTCCAAACCTCTAGCACCACACCCCACAAATCAATATGTAACTTCACCACGCCACAAATCAGCACGCGCATATCACAACATCACAAAGCAACAGCATCACAAATCACCTCAATATCCATCGCTACTAGGAACAAGGACGCTACTAGTGGCTCCTGGCCATACTATTAGGAACAAGAAGCTACTAGGAGCAAAGGGCATTACTAGGAGCACGCAGCATGACCTCACCACACATCAGATCACGGTATGTCGCCCAGTTCTGCCACAAGCAAAGCGAAAGTTCCTGTCGTAAGTATGTTCCTTACCAATGCCAAGGTGGTTCAGACAAGACGTCAAAGTCCAATCCACGCCTTTAACAGACCAGGGTGAGTAGGTTTGAATTTGATATATTCGCATCAGGGGCTGGGCGCTCCCAACACCTCTTCAACGGATGAAAGATGCTCCTCTCTTGGGCTCCATGCAACCAGAACGTGGAACAAATGGCAGTGACTGCCACGGCTTCGTTGTCGAACTCCCCACCCACGGACCTCTTTTGGAAGTAAAAAAGAGATGAAAAGAAGCAAGTGCTTCAGCTCCTTTGGGACCCCGCCATCGCTAGTAGGTTGGAGGCCATCGCTAGTAGGTTCTTTTCTAAATTCCATGCTGATTCTCACCGCCTCATGAGATGTGCAGGGATGATGGCCATAATCAAAGTTGCAGCCACGCCGGCATTCACCTTAAAGCGTCTGTCAGACTGAGGCACGCAGTGCCTGGCCTGTTCTAAGTTGGCAACACTTCTGGAGATCTCGTAGGTCAAAAGACCAGTGAAGACTGACCTACAGCCACGATTTGTGAGAAGTGTCTTTGGATTGTGGATCACTTGATCACTCCTCTGATGGCAAACCTTCTTCCAAGCGCCCGACGCATAGGTTCCGAACCAGGGTGGAATCATGCAACAAATGTCATTCAAGCCTGAGATGATCGGATATGAAAGCGAGACAGGACGAAGGCCACACTCGAAGTTGTTGAAAAGACTCAATTCGGTTCGTTGCCTTTGCGGTGTCCTTTAGATGATAAAGGCATTCCTCTATTTTGGTTGGAGGCCCTCGCATTTAGCCCATTGAGTAACAAGAAGCTAGTAGAAACAAGTGCCTTACTAGTAGTAACAAGAAGCTAGTAGTAAGCTTCCTCTATGTGTTTTTTGGGGAGATCCGATAGAGCTGAGCGTCGGACTCATGGGAGTGAACTCATAGCTCTGCTTGATCGACGGCCTTTGGTTGCCCGCCGTGCTCACCGGTGGTCACCACACTGTCACTCACTGCTCATCGGTCACCCGAATTGGGAAGAACCCCTAAATGAGAGGACCATCGCTATTGGAGGCCGAAATAGGAAGACTTTGGACACTTTGACCGTACTTTGTGCAGCAGCTCACCCTGTTTCCGACTCTGTCGCTTGGAATAACACTCAGTTGGAGCTCCATGGAGGAGAGTGAAAGTGGTTGCACAGGAGCTTTTTTTATTGAATTAAGACCTTACAATGCATGTTTTCCCTACTTAATTAAGGAAGGGAGAGGTAGCTAGTAGCTTAAGTAGCTACTACTTAGGACGCAGGATAGCTCACGCTCGCACTAATGATTTGGTTCGTAGATGTTTAGGGAAACTTAACTAAAGACATGCTGCATTTATGAATGATTATACTAAAGAATTAATAAGTTAGAGATTGCTCTCTGGTGAACTCATTCATGAACAAATGGTCAACAAAAGAAAAGGAAATGAAGTCCTGACAGAGAAAAACATCCATGAAATCAAACTCGAACTTGCGGAGCACAGGCAAAATTAGGCAAAACGGTAGTTGCTTTGGCAAAGTTCCAAGTGCAGGACAAAAACCTCCAACCACTTCTCTTGAGGAAGGAGATGAACGGTCTGAAAAAGTAAGCATGTTGCGCGCATTGCTCAAACGGCTCTTAAACACAAACACAAACATGATATTTCTCTTACTTTGTCATGGGACACATGTTTGCCGCACTCCTTCATCTACTTCTGTGTTCTTGACTGAAAGCTTCTTTCATCTTACTTCTCATCTTCTCTGTCGTCCTCTGTTCTTCTCTCCTCTCTGGCTCTCTGTCGGCCTCATTGCCAAGAGTACGGATGGCGTCTGGATCTTGAAGTCCCCAATCTTCTTCATCACCTCCAGGCAAAGTCGATGCCGTGACAAAGTCGAGAACTCACGTCGTCACACAATAGCGATAGCCTACTAGCGACGGCCTCCGACCTAAGAGCGTGAAAAGAATCGTGACACTGTTCCTCATCACCTCCTGAATGACGACTCCAGTCACTTGCATGCCAGGATATATCCTTGGAGCTGGCAGAATGAGCACGAAACGTTGGCCAAAGTTGCAAAGACTCCAAAGTTGAATATCCTGAGACAGCTCACGTTGTCCCAATTGGACGCCCAATGGGATACCAGGACTCGTAGTCGTACCATCGTAGGAACTTGTACCTGAGAACGTCTTCGCGAACTCTGCTGCTTTGGGAGCTTACCCTTTGGAGACCCTAGTAGCGTCCTTGTTACTAGTAGAAATGCCCTTTGCTCCTAGTAGCGTCCTTGCTCCTAAGCACCCTTTTGGCCGGAGAAGAGTCCTAACCGAGCGCACAAGCCATGCTCTGCCAAGTACTCTGCAGCTCGATAGTTGAACCAAGGATCAAACCTTATTCGTTCGGATTCTTCGGATTTCTCAGACCGCAAAGCTCTTGTTACTAGTAGCGATGCACTTGTTCCTAGTAGCGAACATTGTTACTACTAGTAAGGCACTTGTTACTACTAGCGAGGCACTTGTTCCTAGTAGCTTCTTGTTACTACTAGTAAGGCACTTGTTACTACTAGCGATGCACTTGTTCCTAGTAGCTTCTTGTTACTACTAGTAAGGCACCTGTTACTACTAGCGTGGCACTTGTTACTACATAAAGCCTTCAAACAGAGTCCTGGTAGGAAAGGGCCTACGGCCGAAACAAGTCCCTGAGCTTTCAACTCATGAATAATATAGCCAAAATCCTGCAAGGGAAACTGTTTCTAGAAATCCTACAAACTCAAAAACAACTGTTCAATACTGTTCCATCATATTTGGCACGCGAGCCTTGATGGGATAAAGTCGGATATCGTACGCTGCGTAGGCTCCGTAAAGAAGAAACAAGACTTGGAGCAGGACAATGACCTTGGCTTTACCCAGTGACTTCGTGTATTTGTTTCCATTTCAAGAACCTTCACACCACTTCGGGGCCAGCACCGATTTGAAGGCAAATCTAAGAAGCAGAAGCAAAGAGTTCCTTGGATGTGAAGCATTTGGTTCACGCAAAGGGAAGGCCACCCACGCCCACGAATGGCGATTCTAAGACAATGGCATGCTCCTCAAAACCTGGGAAAGGCAAGAAAAGAAGCAGAAAAGAACAGAAAGAAACAAAAGATACATGGAAATTAAACGCTTCCAAAATTGAGAAAGTGAAAAAACAAACATTTCCAGTAATTATGTGCTCTGTTGCACGTCTATGGTGGCCACTGGATGGCTGGAGCATGCGGCCCACTGAGCTGAAATGGCGTTCAATCTCTTCGAGTGACACTCGTTCTTGTTCCTACTAGTAAGGCACTTGTTACTAGAAGCGATGCTCTTGTTTCTAATAGCTTCTTGTTCCTAGTAGCTTCTTGTTCCTACTAGTAAGGCACCTGTTACTACTAGCATGGCACTTGTTACTAGTAGCTTCTTGTTACTAGTAGCAAGAATGCTCCTAGTAGTGATGCCAGGAGCCCGTAGTAGGATGCCCTTTGCTCCTAGTAGCTTGTTAAACTAGTCGCTTCTAAAGAAGGATTGTCCTTTTTAACCCTAAGAGCGATGGCCTCCAACCTACTAGCGATGGTCTAATGAACTCATGTTTATTGCTGGTTTCTTTGCTTTGTTTTTTTTTCGCTCTTTTTTAGCCCGGCGCGGATAGAGGAGAAGAGGTAGCTATTATTGTAGCTATTAAGTAGGACGCTCCTAGCTAGGACGCAGGATAACTCACGCTTCTAATGACTTGGTTCCCAGATTTTTATGAAGCTCCAAAAAATCAATGTTGTTTCAGCGATCAATGAGCGTCTTCTGTAATCTTGGAATGGAAGGCCTTCCTGCCAAGTTGGAAGAACCATCTCTTGAGATACCAAACGGGGTGTATTTTAGACCTAAAATGAATGCATTTAGAGCTCTGGTCTGTCTGGAATGCGCATTCCGGGCTTGATTGCTCCATGATGCTCATTTAGGGCCCAAAGTCCTAAAGGCGTCTTTAGAGCCTTTGGGTCTTTATACAGAATATTGAACGCTCTAGCCTTAATATGTCTTTTTCTCTTCCCAACTAAAACTGTCCAGTTCTACACTTGGAGGAACCGCTTTGCATCGCGTTGCCCTCTTTTCGCACGTTCGCACTTCTCGCATGGCAGGGAATGGCGCTCGGAAATGGCGTTTGCGAAGGCCGAAGGGCTTCCTCTTGAACGCCGAGAGCTCAAAGTCCATCATTCGTGACTCAGCTGTCTCAATTTCTCTTCACTTCGTTCATGAGGGAGGATGCTACCAGGGGCTCCTGGCCTTACTACTAGGAGCAAGAAGCCAGTAACAAAGGGCATCGCTACTAGTAGCAAGGAACCACTTTGTGTCACAAGTGTATCACTCGTTCTCTCCTCTTTCAGACCGACGTTCCGCATTCATTCTGCCACTGTGCAGCCAGCTAGGACGTCTCCAGCATCTCCCTCGCCTTTGCCTGTGCTGCGTGCCTATCCGTGCCTATCCGTGCCTATCCGTGCCTGTGCTTTGAGGAGCTCAAGCAGTGCTTAGCAACTTCGAGGTGATCTCGAATATGATGGGTCTCTTCTTGCCGCGCTTGGAATTCCAAGATGCGTTTGAAGCTCTTTGTCCGTGGAATCACTCGAAACTCTCCCTTGATTGAAGGATGCAATCCAAGAAAGGCGCCTTGAGCTGATGCAAGAAGTCTCAGATCATACAGACTGATTTCAGAACGAGGATGCAATATAAGTTCGACTGCAGGGCGCCTTACTCTCAAGAAACACACCAGTTTCTCAAGAATTTTGTAACTCAACACATTGCATCGGATGATCAAACGGCACCGGTGGAAACCTCGAAGATTGATTCGCTTCTCACCAGTTCTTGCGTCGAGCCTGTCTTCCAGAAATGCCTTGATATTTTCCAAGAGAATATGGCATTTGTGCGGTATCTCCAGACTTAGCTGGCCTCTACAGATTCGAACAAGAGCAATGGCGTCGAACAGACCTGCAAGATACTCCCAAGAAAGCTTGTTGGGAAGGAACCACTCTGTGAGTTCAGGCAGAAATCTGTAAGACACATGCGGTTGAGCGCGCATAGGTTGGAGGCCGTGCCCGCTCTCGACTGCGATCCCTATGGTCTTCGTCCACTTCAAAGCACTCGTGCCTTGGCTGCCCTCAGTCCAGGAAAGCAAACCGCCATATAAGCGTTCGAAAAGGAGCAGCCCAGCCTGAACGGGACACTCTATGGCAAACTGGGAACGTAAAAGCCTCATGTGTTCATTGGTTGCAAGCAGCAATATTGTCGCTAATAGCGATGGCCTTCCACCTACTAGCGATGGCCTCCAACCAACCTAACAGCAATGGCCTCCGGCAAAAGCAGGGGGAAAAGAATGACAGCAGGTGAGTGGAATAAAACAGGAAATGTTCAAGGGAAAGTCTCGACTAGTGGACATGTTTAGAGAAAAATACGAATAAGAAAACGTCTATAGAGAAAGTCTCGACAAGAAAAGAGTTTTAAAGGTCTAAAGAATATTTAAAAACATGTTTCAATGTCTTTAGAAAGTGTATAGAAAGTCTTAACAAGTAGGGATCAGCCGGAATCAGTATTGAACATTTGAGATTTCACAAACCACAACACGATTCGCCAAACAACATGCCACCACATCACAAACCCTTGCAATAACCCTTGAACAAGAACGATTACGTTCAAACCACAGTCCTTGAACTCCCTCCTCACTGTCAGCTCTAGCTTCGCTAGCTTGCAGTCATGACCGAGGAAAACTCTCCCAGCTCCACGAAAGAAACCAGCGCAATACGCCACGCCAAAATGGCAGCTGTGGATCGGACGAACACGACACATCTCTCGAGCTCAAATGCTTCACATCTTCAAGTGTGAAGGAACCTTTCACTCTTCAGTAATGAAACCAAAGTCTCAGGCCTTACTACTAGGAGCGATCGGACGCTACTAGGGGCTCCTGGAATATTCTTTTGAGTCCCTAATAGCAATGGCCTCCAATTCAAAGACAAACGAGCTTTGTTTTCGATACTGAAACCAGCTGTCTCCGCCCAGTTTCTCGTTTTGTCTTTTGATCCGTTCCTTCTGGCTTCGTTGGGGCAGGCTTTTTCTCCAAATCAAGGGTAGCTGGCATGTCATGTGCGTGTTAGTTTCTTGACAATGCAGTAATCACAATCTTAAAGCTGAAAATCACTATCAAAATAAACATGAGCATAACATATCTTCAAACCCTCCACGCACCCCTCGCTATCAGCGCTCATTTACCTCACCAATGGGACAGGCAAGAACTACGCAGAGACTTTGCAAGTAAATCCATGGGAATAAAGGATCCTTTCCAACTAGCTTCTTGTTCCTAGGAGTAAGGCCAGGAGCCCCTAGTAGCGTCCTAGCTCCTAGTAGCGATGCCCTTTGCTCCTAGTAGCCTTCTAGCCTGAATGAAAGCGCTTCTAGATGAACGGCCAAAGGCACCGGCCCCAAAATTTCTTGAAGATCGAGCTGTACCTGCCCAAGAATTGACCAAAAAGCGAACCAAACACAAGCTACCATTTTGTGCATCGGATTCTTCCTCGAGTCGACTATAAAAGACAGGAACTTCCCACTATGACCTCCCGTTTGTTCACGTTTCATGGCTCAGCGACTCACATGCAAGCCTATGATGGCATCCTATGATGTTTGAGGCCATCGTTTCTAGCTTGGAGGCCATCGCTATTGTTATATGTAAGGCGTTGACGTTCATCTCATATCAGGTGTTCGGAAATAGTCACCTGTTCAAAATTGCCTACAGAGGCAGGACAAAAGTTGGTACAAGCCTGTGAACACATGACCTACAACCCTCTTAGAATCCTACACAGGATCACAGTGGAATTCCGGCGGATTCAATTTCACCCCGAAGTAAACTTATCGTTTTGTATTTTAGTTTGGGGTGGACATTTATCCGCCGGAATTTTGTTGGGTCGAGTGAAGTTCACTGGTCGGTGTTTGTCACGCCTTCGTTGCGCTCCTACGTTCAGGTTCTGTGTTCGTGTCATGTCGCACCTCCCGTCACAAATGTTAAAAACATCTGAAAATTCAGATGTCTGACAGCAGATGTTGCACACGCAAGTTCGCGGTCAGTTCGCGTTCAAACGGTCTCGAGGTGGACTTGGAAGCGGCAGGCCATCGCTAGGTCGGAGGCACCCGCACCCTGGAACGGAGCATCTCAAAGTCGCTCGCAGAAAGCTTCAGGTATCAGCAAGGGTAGCTACAGTAGACTAAGGTAGACTAAGGTAGAACCGTCTTTTTCTACGTCCGTCACGATGTTCCTTTTGGTGGCACAAGAAGCTGGGACATGGCGTCTTGGATGTCACTGCATCGCAGAGCTGACGTCAAGGGGCAAACAGGCTTGATCTTGCGAGGTTAAAGAGAAATGGCCTGCAACCGAGTAGCAATGGCCTCAACCTAGTAGCTTCTTGCTACTAGTAGTAACAAGTGCCTTACTAGTAGTAACAAGAAGCGAACGTAGAAACAATAAGCTAAATTAAGCTAATAGTTTTTTTTGCTCCTAGTAGTAATGCCAGGAGCTACTAGTAGTTTCTTGTTCCTAGTAGCGATGGCCAGCAATGGCCGGACGGGGAGAAGATCCGGGAGACGCAATTTGAGACGTTCGGTCCGCGAGATGCTGGAGCGGACCGGAAGACGGTACGATCCGCCCGGGAAGGGAGACGGTACCGAAGCGAATGAAGAAAGCTTTGTAGAAGCACTGAGAAGCATTGAGAGAGAAGCGTTTGACTCTTCTCCTGTAGAGCACTGAGTGTAGAAGCATACTTTGCGGCCACAAATGGTGGTCACGGCACCTTTCTGGCACCGCAACTCGACCATGCGGAGCTAAGCGATGGCAGTTTTCGCACAACAACGCAGCCGGCCCGCATAGGTGGACAATACACACACTGAGACTGGCAGGTGTTGAATTTGTACCTAAAGATAACTAAAAGAACATGATGAATGAAAGTGTTTGCAATTAGTACTGCAGTGTTGACCCCTTACTCTTGCTGGTGGGATTGACCCAAACACCCAAACCATATCGACTTGTTTTGTACCTGCTCTCTTTGGTCTCTGGTCACCTGTCCGTCGCTTCGGGTCTCGGACCGTGGGCATGCGAGCTCCGTGAGCCAAAGCTCTGCATTGCATCCTGCCCAGCGCTCCAGAGACTCCTATAGCGCCAGGCACCGTGACGAGAATCAGGTTGTGAAGCTTACTAGTAACAAGTGCCACGCTAGTAGTAACAGGTGCCTTACTAGTAGTAACAAAGAAGCTATTAATTTACTTTAAACTTAATTCTAATAGCTTCTTTGTTACTACTAGTAAGGCACTTGTTACTAGTAGCGATGCACTTGTTACTACGAGAAAGAGACCTCAACACACACCTCTTCCACGCAGAACCCTTCTATCACACATTGATGTCGACACGAAAGTGTTTCTTGATGCTTCTTGTATGCAGCCTGCGTACCGCGATGGCTCGACAAAGCTTTCAACGGCCTCCCACCTAGCGATGGCCTCCCACCCAAAGCAAAATAAATACAGTACAGTCGACCAATGACCATGTGCGCGAAGCACTGCTTCTTCAGGAGGAGTACGGAGTACGGGTTGCACACTACAGGTACACAGTGCACACTGGACATTCGACGAGAACTCTGAGTCCTCCGAGATGATCGCAGGGTAGCGTCGATGCAAGCTGTGAAGAATAAAGGTCTGTGCCTCGCACCAAACGCTCAGTTTGTGGCCGTGAAAATCATTGAAAATCCGTGTGTCCTCTGAATCAGTTTGGAGGCCATCGCTAGTAGGTTGGAGGTCATGGCTAGTCTTAGTAGGTTGGAGGTCCTCGCTAGTAGAGGTCTGAGGCCATCGCAATTATGAGTTTGGAGGTCATCGCTACAGTAGGTTGGAGGCCATTGCTTTTAGTAACAAGGACGCTACTAGTAACAAAGGGCATCGCTAACTAGGAGCAAGGACGCTACTAGGGGCTCCTGGCCTTACTACTAGGACCAGGAGCAAGAAGCTAGTAGGTTGGAGGCCCACGCGAATTCCCTCCCAGTAGTAGTAACAAGTGCCACGCTAGTAGTAACAGGTGCCTTACTAGTAGTAACAAGAAGCTATTAATTTACTTTAAACTTAATTCTAATAGCTTCTTTGTTACTACTAGTAAGGCACTTGTTACTAGTAGCGTGGCACTTGTTACTAGTAACAAGAAGCGAACGTAGTAACAAGTGCCACTGTGCTTTGCTCGTCCATTCCCTCACTCCTCGTCCCGCGGCGCATCGATGCAAACTTCGCCCTGGAGGATCAGTGCTTGCAGAGCTGTAGAGCTGCACAAGGGGCACTCCACGTAAAAGGGATGAAACACGTCAGGTGATCAGCTTCGACCATCTGGGACACAAGTGGTCCGGTCCCACAACCAGAAAGGCACAAACAAGGCAACAGGATATGTCACGGCACAACATGAGTTCGGCACACTGGGACAATTATGATGCAACATGTCGTGGAGTGAAACATTGCATATTTTAAAACGCTATTAGGGGCTCCTGGCATCGCTACTAGGAGCAAGAAGCTACTAGGGGCTCCTGGCCTTACTACTAGGAGCAATTGCATATTTAAAAAATAACAATTTCAATTATCACATGAAGCTGTCACAATCCTTTCTCCCTGTCCCTCAGCTGCCAAGCAAACGGTGCACGGGGATTAAAGGAGGCGTGTTTTCAGGTCAGGAACCTAAGCTTAAGAGCAAGGACGCTACTTGGGGGCGCTCTGGTCTTACTACTAGGAACAAGGAGCTACTAGTAACAAGGGCATAGCTACGAACGGAGCAAGGACGCTACTAGTTTCTGCCTGAAAAGAAGTATCTGGTATCTGGTGGGCCAGCACTAGTGAGATTCAGCCCACCAAGTCCAGTTACCGAATAATGTGCAATAATCAGGAGTATTGCTGCACATGATGGGTAGTATTGCTGCACATGGCACCTGTCAAGCACCCAGCCTGCATCCTAAGGGTTTCAACTGAGCCGTGGAATATCACCAACTACTACGAGCACGAAGCCATATGGGACGTGGATGAAGCCATATGTGGCTATGTTCAAAGGTGGAGGGGAGGGAGGGGAAGGAGGGGAGGCGAGAACCGAAGCTCTGAGAGAACCGAGATAAAGGCCATCGCTTCTAGGATTGACCTCATCGCTGTTACGGACGGCGGTTACTTCAATTCCTTTTCTTACACTCCGTGGAAGACGCTCTTCTTTGCTCCTAGCTTCTTGTTACTAAGGCCACCCTTGCTCCTAGTAGCGATGCCCTAGTAGCTCCCGAATCTCCGGCGAGCCCAAACGCCTTCTCAGACCCGCAGCTCCGCAGCTCCTGGGATCATGTTTTTCCACAAAACTGTTGACCCTTCGGCATTTTTCCTTTAGACCTGTCTGTCTTTATTCTTAATTCTGCTTGACCCTTCTTAATTGTTACTTTCTTTTAGACCTTTCCTCCTCTGTTCCTTCCTTTCGGCTTTTGGATTCTTTTGTATGTGTTTTTTCTTTAGTAGTAACAAGTGCATCGCTAGTAGTAACAGGTGCCTTACTAGTAGTAACAAGTGCATCGCTACTAGTAACAAGTGCCTTACTAGTAGTAACAATGTTCGCTATTAGGAACAAGTGCATCGCTTCTAGTAATAAGTGCCTTATTACTAGGGGCGGATAGAGTCGGATAGAGCTTGAAGGTTTTAGATGATGTGCCCCTGCTTTTGCAGCCCTGTATGTTACAAGAACTTTGGTGCGCAGCAAGGGTATGCTGTTGTCATTTAGGTTCGCTGTGCATGTTCCTAGTGGTGCATACACTCTGGCCATACCAATCGACTTTTGCTCAACCCTGAGAAGGGGCAAACGAAAGCCAATCAATAAAGACGAGGGAAACCGTATCACGTAAGGCTCAACCAGTTTTCCAACACACGCTCGAGAAGAGCCCACATCAGTGGGAGTCGTTGTATGTGTACCTTTTGTGATGCATTGTCTCTGCACTCCAAAAAAACACCTGCAGGCTACTATGATTTACATGCACGGATAGGCGCACTTCATTCGCAGAGACTAATAGTAAGCCTATCTGCTGGTTTTCGCAACATATAATATATCTATGGTTATTTATGTAATAGTAGTTGATAGCATTACAAAGACATCAACCGGAAGGCCCTAGTAAAGACCCCCTTCAACGAACTCACATCGCCTCTGCTTTGTCGCAAGGCTCTGCTGAGGTGGCAAACGGCGATGCGCATGCAATTGCAGGTGATCGGGCGCCCCTTCTAGGGTGGAGGTCATCGCTAGTAGGTTGGAGGCCATTTCTTCGAGGGCCGTTCTACAAAGCAACGAACCTCTTTGGGTAGGTGTTATATGGCCTCGGAAGTCTTCTGTGTCCCGCCCTTTGGTCTACCAGCGGTTGTTGTTCAGAATTCCTTCTAGGGGCAAAAATGACCTTGGTGATGCAACCCCTAGTTTACCAGGCATCTTTTTTCATCACAAACTCACCAAACTCTGCCAAAAAGTCAAACACCAGGCCAACGTGATCTACCAACACGGATGTCGCATCTGCCCACCAGACTCTCTAAACTCACTTCGTTCGACATCTTCGACCAGCGCTTTCGACCAAGGCGGGTCGCGTGGCAAACCGACAGCCAGCTTTGGCCCTTCTGACGCTCCTTTTGGTTGTTCACATCTGTTTGCAGAAGAATAGCGATCGCCTCCAACCTACAAGCGATGGCCTCCAACCTAGAAGTCATGACGTGACGGCCTCCAACCTCTGCTATCGATGGCCTTCAACCCACTAGCGGCGGCCTCCAACCTTGAATCGACCACCCCAGGGATTTTAAAAAGTGTTTCTGATTTTTCATGTAAAGGCCCAAAAGCTGACGCAGTTTTTCGATCCTAATTGGTGTAGGTACGTCTCTGATCAATTGGGGTGCAACTTTGCAGTGTCGTGTTGGCCATTCAGTGTTCACTTCTGACACTTCTGTGGTCTCTTTCCGTCGTGTCCGCCGTGTCTCCTGCTGAAGCTTTCCCACTTCACAAACCGGGCAGCAACCAACGGATTGCGGGTTCTCTTGAAACCTCAAGACAGCTTGACCAGACGGTCATTAGCTACAATCAGCGAGTCTATAATTTTGTTCTTTGCAGTTGCTTATGATCTTAATCTTGGTCTTTGGCCAGCTGTTGATGCAATCCAGATGGTAGCCATGGCCGCAAAGAAACTTCACTTTCTTTGGAGCTTGTGTATTCCTGAGTCAGTGAAAATGTCTTCACAATGCAAGCAGGACTCACAGACATTGACATGAAAAGGGCTGAATGGCTTGCTAAAAGTCAAACAAAGAGTATCCAATCTCTAAATCCACATAAACGTTTCCCAGCACTCATCGATGGAAAATCAGCTATTGACGACACGCAGGCCGGCCGCTACTGGGAGCGGGACAATGTGCACTCCACACAGCAAGGACACCTGGTTGCTGAACGTGAATTCGACAATAGACCTTTCTTCCTGTTCTTTGTTTCTAATTGCGATGGCCCTGAACCTACTAGGGATGGCCTCCTCCAACCCAATAGAAAACTATATTAGACCTATATAATTGGAGTCAGTTTTGCATATTCGATATGAGTCTCCGACAGTGAGAGGTTGTCCTTCCCTTTCATGAGGGCTTCTTGGACCCTTTGTACCTTTCAGGATTGAAGTGATGTTCAAACGGCAAACAATGTTCGCTAGTAGTAACAAGTGCATCGCTTGTAGTAACAAGTGCCTTACTAGTAGTAACAAGAAGCTAGTAGAAACAAGAAGCTTGTAATTAGAATGTGGTGTCTATGAAAGTTT